TAAGCGTTAACTGTGTCTGTTATTATATTAAATAACTTCACAATACGAGCGAGGCTTATTATTACGATTACATCTACCGATGATTCTGTCATTAGTCGTGTTCCTTTTCTGCCTAATTTCAGAAATTCCGTTTAATGTGCAGCCGGATTTTTTCCGGATCTTTCGTTCTGAAACGCGCGTCCGGCGTGTATTGCAGCATTTCGCTTCTGAAAAACTGAAAAAAAAAACGGAAGAAACGGATTGTATACACACGTTAAACGAAATCGTTCAGAGTTGCGTGGAACAAAAAAGAAAAGAGATTTGTCCAAGAGTATATAAGTACACAATTGCGATTCAGTTCGGTTATTTTGTCAAAAGTTCAGACGGTATGATATACAATCGGTACATACAATCAGAGGTAATAGGCATTTCAAACAAACGTTCAACTGCTCAATTTGGCACATTGAAAGTCAACAGAATTTCCGGGCGTGTAAACGAGAAAATGTGAGAAGCGGACAACTGTGAGTCCAAATCGTCAGTCTAGAATCGTTAAGAACGATAGAGGAAAAAAGGGGGTTGAACAGCGAGTACTCCTAACGAGAAATGGTGGTGAGACGTGTCCTATAAGATTTGCGCTTTTTATACATATTTTACCTAATTACATTTTTTTCTTCCTCGCGTTTCCCGCGCTGTCTTACTTCTGTACACAAGTTGCGATATCGCAATTTTTTTTTTTTATACTCAACGTGTATGTATAAAATATTGAGAATAGTCTTGAATACTTGCTATTAGGTCATTATTCTACTCGTTGATATATATATATAGGGTATCCTGAGACTGAAACTTCTTTTTTTTTGTCAATAAAAAATCCAGGATTAGTTTTCGAACAGTCAGTTTTAAAGAAGTCTGAGAAAATTTCGCACGAGTTTAAAAACAATAAAGGATAAAATAAAATTTTAATATATAAAACAGTAGACACGCGTATACATGTATTGTACAATTATATTGTTCCATTTCGAATTGCACTTAAAATATCCAATAATTTTATTTGTATGATTATTAGATATTAGATTTATGTATGTAGTATGATAGTGTATGTATATATGTGGGCGTGCACGTGTGTGTACGTGCATGTATATGTGTATAGATGTAACAAGAGGAAAATTAATTTTATTTCAATGATCTCATTTTTGCGTAATCATTTAACGAATTGGATACGAAATTGTTGAAAATTAAATAATTCCGATGAGAAATTGATTGAGCATTGACGGAGATTAATATTATAAATTCATCAAGAAATTTGACAAAATGTTCGATGAAAAATTGTATAATTGTATAATTTCAGATACCCCATATATTGCTATACCGTATTTGTTAATAATTGCATCGGATCAAAATGACATAACAATATGTGCGCAATGTTGTAGGAACAAAACAACCATGGATCGTACTAATAAATCTCGTAGTGGACTATATCTTCGAAATGGTTGCTCGGTATAAAATAAACAAACGAAATAAACCAACAAGAGCGTTTGCGAATATGGAACAGTTTGGAACTTCTACCATTTTGTCTTGTATCTTTAACTTACTGAGAGATTACGGATGTACAGTGGATTAGCTAATCAGTCTTGTGTTAGAGGCTCGTTATGTCTAGACTCAACTGTATTATATTGCGCATTACTCGCATAATAACTCTTTCCCTAGCTCATCCCGTTAGGATTCATCCAATATTATTTATCTCACGATTGTATCAACGATTACACAGGTTCAATATTTTCTCGTCCATCATCAATCTTGCTTCTCACTGGGCTCTAAGACAGTCTACGTTCTCTCGTCTCTACTCAAAAGCATGGTGTATACCTCTGACTTTCATAGTTTATTTCGTAGAGCAACGCAGAAAACGTTTGCGCGACGGATTAAGAGAAGTGTTTTATGGAGCTGTTGTATAAGTAGCGTGAACCTATTGCACAAAAGAGATTGTAAACTCATGATTGTAAATTGCACAGTGAATCTTTGTAGAATATGTTAATATTCGATCGAAAATAATGGTATTCATTTGCAAGAAATATCTGTTGTGTCTTTCTTCTTGGAGAATATTACGAAGGCAAAGCTCAATTTCATGTGCTAGCTCCACGAAATAGTACAGTCACGTACATACACAGCACATAGCCCATGTCATATGTACGAGGTATGTCGGGAAAATTTCAGAAGCATGAAAACATGAAAAAAATTTTTAGACAAAATTATTGCTTGTTTCACGTGCGTACATTTTAACGCATTAGAGTTCTATAATTAAATAGAATGTCAAATTTTATTTGCGTATTATTGTGATCGTTAATAACTTATTCAGCCCTGAAACTTTTCAAACATACATGTAACTTTGTCTGATGCTTTTTTGGATCTCTACAAGATCTTCGCAAGATTATCTAGATATACAGAACGAGAAACGAGAATAAGGCGCCGCTTAAATCAATACCGATATTTTTACAAGCGTGATATTTGATCGCAATAAAATTTTAAAGTTAAAATACGATATATTAATATTAAACTTAAAGATTAGGCATTAATCGTTTTCAATTAAGATTTTGTCTTACTACAATAAAAAGATTAAAATACTTCTTATCTATAAGAATCTACAGAAACTACTTTTTGCAAACTTTCATCATAAATGCTCATCAATCATATGTGCTCGCTACTGAAGTCTTTCAACTTAAAAAAAAAAGGTCCTTACTCTCTAGTTCTCCCACTATATATCGAACAATTGGTGGATTCAGAACTTCTAAATCAACTGATACAATAAAGTCAAAAATATTAAAAACAACATAGAAAACACATAAATATAATAAAAATCTATAAATTAGAAGAACGCGATATATTTGCTAAGTTCATACACTTATTCTGAATCACCTTTTACACACATATTTGCCAACAAATCTATATCACTATACGAGTTCAAAGCTTAAAATCATGCAAAGTGGCGACTAGGTATAATTCACAAAATTTATAAAATGTGGTCTTGTTTTGCTGTGAACAAAATGTCGTACCAACGCGGTAGTCGACCTAATTGCCACTTTGGTTCACTGTATTTACTATAAACTTGGAAAGAACATAAACCAATGCTGTACAAATGTATAATTATAGCAGAAATTGCGCGAATAGCGCACCTTCTTGCGATTGAAAATGAAGTGGAAAATTTATGATATAAATAATAAATCTGCTTAATTCTTTGATACACTAGTAATGGGAGAGCGGAGAAGTTACTATATGTTTGTTTTTAGAGAACCTGTGCATTACCGATGGACAGCTGTGTATTTATCATAGCGTACGGCCCAAGTTCGAGGAGAGACGTTTGAATTAAATCGCAGCTGTCTGTAATAATCCCGCGATAACGGCGTCTTAATATAAAGTAAACTCTTCATATTAATGTATACTACAGCGACAACTTCAAAAAGACAGTATCTGATATAAATATATTCGCTGCTTTTTTTCCAACATATATCGCAGCGTAACAAATATATAATTAGCTGTACACGCTTAGCGATATTAATTACATTTAGAGAGACGGAATTAAGACATGGTAACACCCGTATAAGGAAACTCCATTTGTTTGTTAGGACCTGTACTCTTAGTTACATCTAGACGTTTAAAATATAGACTTATAAATATAGCTTGTATGTTAGCTAGAACACACTAACATTCCTTTCATGTACAGAAAACATTGCTCAATGTAATTCTTCCAAAACGATAATCCAGTATGCTCGTAAATTTGGCACAGACACTGCCTTTTTGTATGTATGTATGTCGTTTGTGTGTTGTTGTTGAAATACTTATATCCGATTCATTCCAAGTGATAAAATTTCATACAACGGAGCTATGTGGCCGTATTTCCGATATAACCGTTATTTAACGTTTCCGATTTATTCATATAGTCACTCATATGCTTGTTGCTTTCCTTTTTGTCACCGTTAATCTGAATATCTATAACGTCCATAGATGGAAATTCTACGTGTAGAGAGGTAATCTCCTTCTTCTCGATGCTCGACATGATCTCAGGACTCCTATTTTCGTAATCGGGATCATCCCGGAATTTAGATGGGTTTGGGCTATCGAGGAAACTTCGCTTAACTAAACTGCCAGGTGGACTTCCAGGCTTCCCTAGAGAACTTTGACTTATGTTACTGCGGGAAGTACTTTTCTTAAATATAAAAGGCGAGCTCCTGACTGATTTAAGGCTGCCTTCTACAAAAGGCGAGTTTAACGTGTCCTTACTAGATACAAGCGAGTCTCCAGAGACACCGCCAAATTCATCGAATCCAGCTTTGGGTACTTTTATAGAGTTCATGTCATGGAAATTAGAAGTAGCTTTCGAGGTTTCACCATATGAACCTATTGCATATCGTGAACTTAAATTATTTTTAATACTGCAAGGCTCAAAACTTGCAAAGTCACCAAAGTCTTGACGCAGTGGCGAATCTTCTTCTCCCTCAGTTTCTTCCTCTCGCAAATCTTGAAGAGCAACCATTTCTAGATCCCTGTAAATTAAATAATCAAATTATAAAAAAAATCAATAATTATATAAATTGCATTTAATTATATAAGTTACATTTAATTATTCAGACATGCAATTATTATATTGTTTGACACAAAATTGGACACTTACTGATCATTTTGCGGTGAATGCGAATTATTTTGATTTCGAGCTTCGATTCCTTCCGGACTATGATAAAAACTAACGTTCTCAAAACCTTCTATACTAACTTCTTGTAATAACAATGTCTCGATGTCTATAAAGGTAGGTCTTCTTGTAGCTCTATGATTCCAAGTACGTCTCATTAAATTGTACAGTGAATCAGGACAATTTTCCGGTCGTTCCATAACTCCTCCTTCAATTACGTAACGCAATACCTAAAAAGGAAATAATGAGTTAAAAATATGTATAATAAACAGATTATTTTATGACAGAATTTATATTTACCTGATCGTTCGACAAGCCTTGGTACGGCTGCGAAGCTAGTGTTACCATTTCCCATAAAACAACTCCGTAGCTCCAAACATCAGAGAAACTGGTAAATACGCCATCTTTCAAACTTTCTGGTGCCATCCATCTGACTGGTAGAAGCCCCTTGGATCCTTTTCGATAGTAATCAGTCTCATATATGTCCCTTGTCATGCCGAAGTCACCGATCTTTACAGTGAGATCTTCGGCAACCATACAATTGCGAGCAGCCAAATCTCTGTGGACAAATTTTTTCGCAGCAAGATAGGACATGCCGTCCGCAATCTCGACTGCCATTTGCAAGATATCTCTCAACGTCGGAGGTTGTTTAGAATTCTCGCAAACATCCGGTCGGTGACTTCTCAAGTATGTTTTCAAATCACCATTCACCATCAATTCCATAACTACCAACGTAGGCTGACCCTGCGATACTACGCCCAATAATCTAACCACGTGATGAGTGTTGAAAGCTCTTTAATAAAAAAATTATCATTCATTAAAACTCAGATAAAAAAATACGATATAAAGAGGAAGCAATTAATTCTTACTTCATAACAGACGCTTCGTTAAGGAACTCTATCCGTTCACGGTCGGTTGCATTTTCATTTACAGTTTTCACAGCGCATCGTACTTCCGGCTTGCCTTTCACGACATCTTTAGCCAGTCCCTCATATACCATACCGAAAGAACCATTTCCTAATTCTCGTAATAATTGAATTTTCTTTCTGGGCACTTCCCACTCGTCCGGCACGTAACTTGTGCTTACGTATTCTGGATTCACCGTCGCGATAAGCCTCATACTGGGTACATTTCGCATTGATCTCTTTTTCAGTATGTAGAATGCCATCAGAAAAGTAAATATAATAACGACACCCAATATCGACCAAAAGAAAATCCAGGTTGTACTAAACGCGCCATGTTCGCGTACATAAAAGTATTGCACTTCAGTATACGCGCCGTTTCCAGCTAAGCTCGTAGCACGTATTTTTACAGAATAATTTCCAGCAGGTAGATCCTTCAAAACGTACGAGTTGCCCATATTGACAAAATCGCGTCTTGTAATGCATGCCACTGTTGCTTTTATCTATACAATAAGAAAGATTATATTTAGATGACAACAGTACAAGATTACATTATATATATTATGCACCTTTCAACTTCATCCTCTCCCCCCCTCCTTTCAGATAAGTTTTAGATACTTTTGCAACAAATCCTTTCTTTCTTTCTTAAGATTCATCAAAAATACTTATTTGAAGTACTCTTGCTTAATAAGTACAGTTTAAACAGAGTATTACTTACATTTTTAATATCAATTCTCTTATATTCGATCTGATACGTGACTATTAGGCCATTAGGTTGAGGAGGTTCCTCCCAACGCAATGTTATTATAGTAAGACTACTATTTTCACCATTGACCTTCAAATCAAATGTATTTAGTGGAATATTATCTGCGCTTTCCATGGCCAATGTACGGTGCGTTTTCATGCTCTTCGTTGAACAGTTCTTGCTCTTGTTCGTTTCATTTGCAACTCGTTCTCGGCAGGCTTGAACCTCGATATTATACGCAGCAAAGTGTCGTAGATTTCTCATGACAAAAGTAAGACTCGTACTCGGTACTAGTCGGTCAAATACTAAATATGTATCATTTACGACTTTATCGTTAAATATTCCCCTATCCTAAATACAAAATATGTAGAATTAGATTCAATTTTAAATAATAATATAAAATATTGTACATAATTAAATATTAACAATCAATTAGTGATTTTATATTAATATTTCTATTGCTATTTCTATCGAAATTAAGTTAAGCCCTTATAATTTATGCTCATGAAACAAAATACAAGCAAACATCAGATAAAATACGTAACTTTTTCTTTATTTTGATTATTTGTCCGCTTATAATTAAAAAATACTTGACCTAGTAAACATTTGGAAAACAAACCTGAAATTTTACCTGATTGTGTGTAAAATTTTTGGCTTCTTCTGCCGCAATTAACATTTCGCTAGTGTGACGTCTTCTACGTATGTTTATTCGCTTTATATATACTTGATTGTGTAACGCGTTCTCGAAAGCGATCGAACTAGAAACTTCTTTTTCACGCGCCGACTGATCTGTCGTCTCACGATCTGAACAAGCACAGGAATCAGATTTTGCAATTTCCTTTTCTAACTCGGTATGTTTCTTTTCTTCTTCCGCTATAACTTCTCCTGGTAATTTTGGCTTAGGCAAAGGCATAGCTAAAATTAATAATAATGTATTAATAACTGACTTTTTTCACTGAATAATAGTTGCTGCTGTAATAATAATTTATTACAAAAAAGAACTTTCTTTATCATTATACTGCTATAATGAAACATGAATGATTAAATAAAATAATTCCAATTACGTTCGTCACAATAATTCCTCTGGTCAATGAAATTCGCATCATCGGGCTCCCAGCGACCAATAATTCGATAATGCGTTAAATTCCCATTTTTGTGAAGCGGTGGAAACCAGGATATAACCAGTTCGCTGCTAGAATTACTCCAAGTCGATAAAGCTCTGGGTGGACTAGGCGCATCTGGCAACGTCGTAAAATACTTGACTTTACTTTGCGCGCCTGACCTTTCCGTAGCTATGGTGTAAGTCTTGACGTAGTAAGCGTACTGAGTATATGGTTTCAGCAAAGTCAGTATGTGAGTGTGATAGACAGGCTCCGAACTGTTTTGAGGCTGCGGTGTCGTGCTCTCAGCGGAGACATCCTCCACCCGCCAGCCATCACCGCCACAAGCATCGCGGCCATCGTACATCGTTATGTTCTGATTAGGCGCTTCGATAAAATAAACAACGTAACCCAAAAGGGATCTAGTATCGTGATGCGTAAAGGCCCTCCATTCGATAATAGCTCCCCTAGGTGTTTTTTTCGTGACTTTAGTTTTCAGCTCGGTGACATTACACGCAACTTTGTCCCCGTTACTGGTAGATGCCACGTCGTGATCGGTGAATTCGTCCAACTGGGCCTTCTCTCGCAATTTCTCAATCTCGTGCAGACACAATTTCGGATTGAAATGAAAGAAGAGCTTCGCTTTAGCGGCGCCGTTGTGGGCCAGGATAGTAATGTTCGAATGCGTGTTCCAATCCCAGAGCTCCTGAAGATTCTGATTATCGAACACCGCGAGACTGTACTTGCCGTTCTCGAGTTCATTGCCGTGTATCACGCGCAAATTCTTGAGAAAGTTAAGGGATATCAGTGGAAAACTACGAACGATCTTCAAGTAACCGTCTATCTCCTCGATCATGTTCAAATTATCCTCGAGCTCCTTCACAATGTTTTTGCCACCGCGTATCTGTATCTCGAGACTACCTGCGATGTTCGTGCATCCACGCAACTTTTGTGCTGAAGCGATGCTGTCTACGTTTGCAGCAGAACACTCCTTCATACACCACTGGCCGTTACATTTTTGGCACGTCCTGGTGGTTTCGTTTTCCATGTAACCTGCCGGGCATTCCATCACGCAGCTGTCGTTGAACAATTTGTATGGATACAACTTCACGGTGTCGCGCGCCTCCTGCGGCTTTTTCTTCTCAAAACAATTCTTCTTAGTGAAGCAACGCCGATTCATAAACACGTAGGTGTTGTTCGGACAACTGTCTTTGCACTGCTCGCCGTCGATTATGTTTCTGCAAACAACGCAATCGTTAACTGTTGATCCCGTGCATCCACCCAGGCAGGAAGGATGACAACATTCTCCTTTGTCGTTGCAAGCTCTATCTCCGCAATCCTGGCATACTGTAAAGCCAAATTGGTATATTAAAATAGGAGATACTCTCGTCTTTCGTTTATCTCAGTTACCATGAATTAAATAAATAATAATTCGCAAATTATACAGATCAACAAGAATTAAATGTATGTGTTCGTATACGATATTTAACGAGAATAAGAAAAGTTTGATTGTGCAAAACTCGATAAACTTTACTTTTTTTTTTTTAATATAGACACAAGATGGATTGAATACGAAATTCTTTTGTGAATTTTATATATAGTATATAACTATATATATTGATTATATATAATCAATAAAAATTATACAAACATATATTATCAATAAAAATATATTATTAAATAAAATATAAAAATAAAAAAATATATTATTAAAAACTTGTTTGTTTATAAAGTTATAAAATATTGAAAATATAAAGCTGCTACTTAGCATTATCTATTTGACATATAATTTATCCAAATTGTATTTCAAAAGCTTTAAAGAATAAATTAAAATTATAGAATAAATTGGAATAAGAAAAAATTCAATAAAAATTAATAAAATAGTGAAAAAAATTAACAAAAATGCAAAAAATAGTTTTTCTGTAAAGTCTTGCTATAAAATAAATGAATAATTAACGGCATAGTTGATCATAGTCTCTCAAAATACTTTGTAATTAAAAAAATATCTTTATTCGATCTCAAATTGCCCCTATAAAGCCGTTAAAAAATGGTTTAAAGAAAATTGCACTTAAAATATTTCATGATAAAACATTTGATTTACAATTAAAAATTAAAAATGCAATATAAGTAACTGACAAAGGTATTTGATATTCACTTTTGTGTTTACATTAATGGAACAAAGTTTACCAAGTGTTTTTCGCGCAGTTAAATCTTTCTCAAATAAACTATAAATACTACAATGTGCGTATCGGAATAGAAAAGTCGAATAGAATTCCAAATTAAAATTTCAGAAAAAAAAAAGTTTAATAACGCCGGTGCGTCGACATGGCAATTTTTATAGGAATCCAGCTCAAAATTCAGCTTGAAAACTCTGAACAAGTCGATCGTGATGGCTTACTTCGTTGGCAGTGATGTCGATTCCAGCACAGAGTCTGATCATGTTTCATTTGTCTTGTCGGGCACTTTTTGTCACACACCGGACAACCATTCGTTGGCTTGTTGTCCTACAAACAAAAATACGAGTGCATTATAATGTGTAATACGCCTTTATGGATTCTCACGTAACACTTAACTTACATTTTCAATTTGCGCTTTTTTCTGAAATTTCTTAACATTTCTTTTTGGCACTTTCAATACTTCCCGTATCTTCACGCGCTGTCGCGAGAAGTCTTAGACACCGTTAGTTTATTAAAGAATAAGAATTTCGTTTTGTACGTATTCTCGAAAAATATCGCATATGTAATATATGCGTTACATATATTACAGATGTTCGTATGCGAGATTTAAGAATAGCTCTCTAGCTCGTCCTAGTTCCTACAGAATTATTGCTCCTAAACATGTTTACACTTAAATCGAGAAATATTTCAGTATGTTGAAGCAATGAAACAATATTAGCATTTCTACCTTGATGCTTTTTACATATAAATATATTATCCGGAATCCATCATTATTTTATTGCTTTTTTATCTTTTCGTATAATCGATGATATCCTACATGTTTTTAAATTTGGTTAATTCGCGCATTTAAACAAAAAAAAAAAAACAAAAAACAAAAAAAAATACACAAATCTTGAAATGTACTAATTTGCATGTACTTTGAGAAGAAATGGGCGTGAGTCTTTTCTTCTTAGCGGATTATAGGAAATTCTTCGTTGCGGAATTACATGTAGGAAAGTAAGAGAAGAAGCAAGACTATACTATCGGCTGCCATCGAGACGGATGCGAAGGTCGAAAAACACATTGCGAAAGGCGCGTATTCGATGATCAATACCGTCGGCCGTTTCTCTGAACGATACGCTTTTCACGAGATATTCGATACTACTTATAAAGGACACGGCAAAAAAAAAACAAAAAAAACAAAAAAACGAAAAGCGTACGTGATTGTGATTGATCGTTTAAATGGGCAAAGAGAAGCATTTACGCGCATATAATTCTGTCATCGCGGATATTTATCACGTTGCATTCGCGTCGATTATTCGATCGTAGATACGCGATTTTGTCGCATGGCTTTATTTTATTCGCATGATGCTAAAGCGATTTGATCGCTTCAGAAGCTATATATTGTTTCGCGGCAAAGCGTCGCGTCATCGCCATTGCACCGTCCCTTTCGCACGGTTTCGTTGTGCGAATTTCCACGGTGCATTATGGCACAAATTCGTACAAAGCGTGTCCACTGTAAAAAAGTTAATGAAGCTAATTCTCATTTTCGCCTCGGATTTCTTGTCATTTAACAGATCTCTTGTCGATTCCCCGATAAAAGGCGCCGCCAAGTGTGATGAATCGCACACGATTCGGTAATTACTCCCGTTAATTAAATGTGCCAGCTATCGAGATTGAAAATAAGTAATCCATTTTTTAAAATGAAATTTTAGTTGCCAGTAAAACATTGGCAGATTTGATATTTCGTATGTTTGTAACTGAGACTGAAAGATGATCTTGTAATAGCCATTAAACTTGCTTTTACGGAACGACAATTATATTTATATTTATACGTTTTTTGTGGAACGATAATTACATTTCTATCTGCATCAAAACATATTTCACTAATAAGAGGGAAACTCGTGCAATCTTTTCGAAAGCATCTGAACGATTATTAATAGACTAATATCCATTTTTAGAAACATACAGGTCAACTTTAATTTCGGTTTGACATTTATCTTTTTTTAATTCTAAAAGCGGGATTCAAATTAAAAGATTAAAAACAAATGGATATTGGCGAGATGGATATAAAAATCACGTTGATGGATATCAACGAATAGCTCACTGAATGACGTCGAGTAAAGGTAAACACTTTTAAAAAGATCAATGTATTACTCACTGAAACAGTTATAAATATACCAACAATCATAATAACGTATTCAGTGAAATTTTACTGAAAGGAATCAATTAGACGGATTACTTCAATCAATAATTTGCTGGGAACAACGGTTATAAATAGCTAATTCAAAAATAAAAAATAAAAAAAAAAGATTTACGATTCCGATTTGATTTGAATATTAAAATTGAATAAATCATACATCAGAATAGAATGCTTTGAATACCAAACGCTCTAGCTCAACATAGTTTTTGCAAATTTTATTTTCATTAACCACGAATCAATCCGAGAAGTAAAGTGCAAGCGTTTCGCACATTGAAAATAAATGAAACCTTCATTGATTTCCAGTGAATAAATTTGTATCGTTGCTTCAATCAGTGAAGTTTTTCATTAATTTAATAGAATGGCATCTCGTCAACGATCTGCCGAGCGAGCGACGGATAAACTTACCTATTTCGATAGAAAGAAATCTCTCTAAGAAATGTATTTAAGTGTTAACGAACCGAAAAAAAAAAAAAAAAAAAAAAAAAGTCACAAAGGTACTCACCATTATGACATGCCCCCCCTTGCCGGCTTTAGCAATGATATCCCAATCGATGGTGTCGACGTAGCAGAGCGTCGGATTTTTCTCGAACCGCACGAATCCGCGTAGAATGTTGGTAAGGGAGTGGAGACCGATCTCCTGAAGATTCATCATCTCAAATGCCACGAGAGCGTAATTGATAAAGAGAGAATTGCCGCGGATGACCGCCAGATTCGGAAACAGATGGCCGACGCTTTTCAGTCCGCTTACCCTGGAAACACCGAGCAATCATAAACGAGGGCTAAAGTAAGGCGGATAATCTCCCCCTTGCTAACGAGGAGACAGCAGCTCCCTTTGGAGCAGCTACATTCTACTAGTACTAATATTCACGACGTGCAAACGATCTAATGCAAATAATCGTACCTGTATAAAATAAGGTATCCGGTGATCTCGACCAGTTTGGGAAAACTGATATTAGCGAAGTCCGACGGTTCCGCTCGATCGATCAGGAGAATTTGTACGAAGCCCTCGACTACCCGGCAATTGTTCAGCTTTGGGTGGAATTGATCCACGCTATTTCTTATGTCTATACTTTCGCACACTGCAACAGAGAAAACCACGATTACTCTAATGGCTCGTATCTATCTACGTCGACTGTCTGACAATAAGCCGGATCAATGATTGCCATATGGATGGCCTCCTAACTTTCGAAGGAAAATTTTCATTCGTGTAAATCTGACTTACGTAATATCGCTTACAGAGCGTCGAAGGTGCGAAAAACTGTAGAGACTGCTTCTTGTTCACGGTGCGATTCAAGTTTCGAATCTTGAAGACGTTTGAAATAATTATATTATGCTTATTTCTCACTTAAAATATGAGTTTTTCTAATGTCCATCTCTAATTAATGTTTAATTTAAATTCAAAAATAATTATTAAGCATTTGGATCCGTAATCTGACCGTAAAAATGCTGTTCTTACGTATTTATTTTTTCCTAATTCTTCGATCTAGAAAGAAAACGGTGAGTTGCAAAGGAGGTGCAAATTAATCTATCACTGGACATTAGAAATGGGCATTAGAAAAAGTCACATACTTTGAGAAATAAGCGTGTAATCATTTCAAAAATCTCTAAATCGCTGAAATCGCTCATAATCAAGCAAAATTGTGACATTGCGCGATATATCGTAGTTACGTCATCAAACAATGTCAAGATCGCGGATTTGATCGACGGGGCGTGGATTGTTTCGCAGCGATCGTTAATCTATAAATCAAAGGTAGGAAATTGGTGAAGTGTGATTTTTACATCGCGAGCATATTTGCCGTTGCCAAGTCACGTCTGGCACGCGGCAGGCTGCGTCAACGTGCCGTGTAACTCAGGCCGGTGCATTAAACCGGTGGCTTGTTTCCTCGATTCTGCTAATCGTCGCATTCGAACGGGCGTAATAGAATGTTGTGCTGTCGAGTGCTCGATTTCAACGGGAGACACTAAAAATACTTCGCCGCGCCGCCAGCTGCCGTCGAAATAAACGGGAGGAGACGCGCGTTCCTCCACGAATTATTCGCGCGCGCGCACGCGCGCTCGTATCGTTAGAGTCGAGCTTTATCGAAACAATTTTATCGTAAGGGATGAACCGCCGCATATCTCTATGACGTGCAAATTCTCTAAACTCGCGGGTCGAGCTCGTGAGAGATAATGTCTCCTTCGTGAACGATTATCTCGTAAATCGACGATTTGCACGAGGAAAGAAACACGAGGATACTTTTCTAATATAACATCCGCGTTATCTAGTTTATTCACACACGGAAAGAACACTTTTGCTGGCAAATCTAAAAATTTGGCTAGATACAGATCTGAAAACGATTTTGTCGGGCCTTCAAAATTATTATATACGATGTTCAAATTGATTGTTAGAAGAGGAAGCATTTTTGCAGCATTATAATAAATTTTGATGGGCCAACAAAATTATTTTCAGATCTGTATCTGGTCAAATGTTTAGATTTTGCCAGCAAAAGTGTTTTTTCCGTGCATGAATATATTATATAGGAGGTTTTGATAATTAATAGTATATCGCTCGTCAATAGACAGGTCAGGTTAAACTGACAGGAAAGTTGTCAAAAATGTCTGGATTTGATTTTTCGTGAAATATATTGTTAAATATAAAAATCTAAGACATATTTTTTATATAGAATCAATTAGAAATTTAAGGGATGAAATAATTCTTCAAAGCTAATATTTGATCTTAATCAATTATCTACGATGAGATATATAGAAAAAAATGTTTTAGACAAAATTTTTATAGTTTATTGTGTTTGTTTATAACTGCGTATTTAGATTTTTCAAATATGTAATATTTTTCCAAATACTCCCATCCCATATTATTATTTTTGTGAAATCTTAGTCTTTTCTTTTTTTCAAAGATGTAATTTTGTAAAATAATGTTATTATACATGATGAAATTTGGCATAAAATTTTATTTAATTTTTATTCTTAGAAAAAATTTAAATTTTACAAAAATAATAATGGAAAATGGGAAAAATTCTAAAAATTATTGAAAAATATATATAAATTTTTGAAAAATTTAAATACACAGTTATACAATACATAAAAAATCATAAATGTTTTATAAAAATATTTTTCTATTATATATATCTAACTGTTTTGTTAATAATTAATTGGAATCAATTTTAATCCTTTGTGAGTAGAAAATTCTTTTATTATTTTGTGACTCTCGTAATAATGAATTATTAATTAATAAAAATCGCTGAATAAATATCAATGCAAATGTAAGCACACAGCGAGATGCTCAGCGTTTCGCTAATTCGCGATTTGCTAAGAGCGAAATCTTTGGAGATATGTAGATTTTAAACAAATACTGGTACAAATTTTTTTCTGCTCGATTTGTTTTATTTCTATCTGCACATAAGCGTTGTATTAT